TTTTTTTTTTTTTTACTATATATTGACAAAAACAAGGTGGATATTTATATGGGGAACATAAACCTTGTTGGACACCCCCAGATGTCTCCTCAGTTGATTGACAAATCACTGCATGTGGCTTTGAAAGATTTGCAATTAAAGTAAATGAGGACTCATAAGTGATTTGTATGCGCTTTATGTAAAGACACATATATTTTTGTGTGTGTTTAAAATGAACGCCTCGAGTGAATGAGTTTAATATCTAGGTGTTTTGTTCATGAATGAAAGGAGAATGGAGCAGGAAATATGTCTACAGATTGAGGCCTCATCCTCAGTAATGAGGGTGTTGCTTCAGTCAGTCATAGTGAAGTAAAAGCCAAAAAGGCAAAGCTGTCAATTTACTGGTCTGTCCATGTTCCATCCCTTGCCTGTGGTCATGAAGTTTGGATAATGAACAAGATCCCAGACAAAAGCGGACAATATAAACGTTCTTTGTGGGATGGCTGGGCAATACCTTAGACATAAGGTGAGGAGTTTTCTCATCTTGGGGGAGCTCAGAGTAGAGCAGCTCCATCATAAAGAGTTTATGGAGGTGTAATGTGTATATGATGTAGATGCCTCCTGGATGCCACCTTTAGGAGGTTTTCTGGGCCCAACCCACTGGTTAAAGGCTTTGGGCAGACCCAGCTCTCAGTGGAGGGATTGCTCATCTTTAGTTTCTGCAGGAGTGTGTCCCTCGGTAAGAGGTAAGTCTGGGTTTCTCCCATGGACCTGTTGCCTCTGCGATCCGACTACGGATAAGCAAGTGTGGAAATGGAGAAACAAATATTTTAAAACATGTACATTTTTTTGCAAACTAAATCTCTTGTGTTTATTCATAGATCTCCTGCATTCTTGAGTAAGCTGGAAGTGTTTCCAGTTTGAGTCATATTGTTAATCTAAATAAGGTGACTACAGTGATAGAATTAGTGTTTGTGTGTGTGACGGGGGTGTTGTGTAAAAAAAAGACTGGCATAGCTAAATAAAAGAAATGCATAAGGGTTATGCAAAGAGTTAAGAAGATAGATTACTTAGATACCAGATTTGAAAAATAGAAAAAAAGTTTTATTTTATTATATGTGTCTCCCTGGAAGAAAAAAAAAAAAAAACCCTGACCACCACTGAAAATAAAACTCCAGCCCCACCACTGTTTACACAGTCTGCCGAAATGACCTTTCATAAGATTGAATACTAAGATGTAATTAGGGCTGCAAAGTAAATGCATTGTTATGACAATATCAGTGTGTGCCAAATCAATGTTGCAAAGGACTGCTTGAACTGTAATAAATTATAGGTCATTAAATCCCAAGTACCGTGCAGCCCCACTGCATTCTAATGTGGCCAACCATTCAAAAGGCCTGGTTAGACCTTAGTGGCTGAGGTGTTAGAGTATTTGTAATGGCAGATGACAGAGCAGTGGGAATAATGTGGATGTGATATAAGGTTATTCAGTAATGTGAGCCCCTTTAAAAACTTGGCTGCTATCCTGCTTCTCACCACTGGTTGTCGCTGTAGAGTCACCGAGCCGCCGTCCCGGAGCCGCGGAGAGGGATCCTGTCCATTGGACGCGCAGCTTTGGGTCAGGTGGGTTATTGGTTTTCCAGCAGACATCCTCTCTCCTGATTGGACAGAAAGGTGTTGGAGGAAAAGAGGCTGAGCCGAGCGAGAGCAGCAGTTTATCTCCTCTCAGCGTGTCTCTGCTGACTCTGCGATGTGACTGCGCACGGGAGGAGTACAGCGAGGTTCCGCGGGGCTCTTCCTCTCCGAGTCGGCTGGATGATGGGAGCGGACAGGCGAGGGGTCGTGTTGGCCACTTGGGTTGCTTTGCTTCTCTGTGTTCATGCTCCGGTGTGCGCAATAGAAGGTAGGTGGGCTTTTTTATTTTTATTTTTATTTTTTAATTGATGCAGAGTGAAGCTTTAAATGAAGTATTGCTCTTCCTGTGATAAAAGCTGGAGGCTTCTGAAGCTGTCTGTAAGAAGGGTCAGTCTTCTTAGTTTAACTTTATGTGGAGCTAAATTATATATATATATATATTAAAAAAAATAAATCTGTTTTTGAAAACTGAGCATCTTTTTTTTTTTTTTTTATCAAAACACTTCACACTTCAAGACAATTAGCAGAAGACCACAGATCATTTTTGCCAAATGAAAGACAAAAAAAACAACAACAACCAATTATTTACAGATTTTTTTATTTTATTTTATTGTCATAATAAACACTGTATTATTTTTTTTAACCATTTACACTGTGTGCTATACCCATATCAGGTATTTTTACTTTGTTAATGATGAACATGAAGGAAAAAAATACATAATAGTTACTAAGCACTACAGGCTGAAGACACTTTTTCTTACCATTTACTCAAGTCAGCCATTATAGTAGTGATTTATAATAAGGGTATTAGAGCTGCAGAATATATCAAATCTATAGTTATCGCAAAGGATTTCAGTACATCATAGGCCATTACATTTCATGTTTGACTGCTAATTACTGATATATATTTAGTCACTCGAACAGACTCACACTGGCCTTGATGCCCACACCTGGTTTAGATGGCAGTGACGACAGGAGGAAAATATGGGTTTATCACAATTGGTATTACAATATTAAACAACAGCATGCATTTTCAGTAGCTTAGGGAAGGGGGTGGGGGGTGGAATGGGAATGTGACTAGTCTATAGGCAGCTTTTCTTTGCCCATCTGAATCTGGACCTAAGACTTCATCAACATCACAGGCATGTCTTCATTTGCAAAGCAATGTGGGAAAAACTTTCTACTGTGGATTCATTTGTTCACAGCTGCAGCATCAGTATAGTACTTATACCTGATTGGTACATTTTAATTTGAACTCACATGTTTACACACCCGGTTACCATTTGGTAATTACTGTAGTTGTGGTCCTTGAATTAGTAAAGAAGCTATATTGTGACTTATGTATGTGTCTAAGTGTGTTTTGCAAAACGTGCAAAGCTGACATTGTGCTGATCTGGCTGTTTTTTTTTTTTTGCTACTTGAGTGTAAAGATTTGCTAAACAATATTATGTAAGCAAAAAACTTTATGGCATTTTAGGGATTTCCTGTAGTTTTTATTAGTTTCTCTGGGTTTTGGTTTAAAAATGAGGCCTTTAGAAGTGGATTGTTGAACTATTGGATATCGTGTCAGGTGCAGTCAAAATATAGGTGTGAAAATCCATGCATGACATTATAGATACTAAATCCTCAGCTGTAGTTTTGTTATGGCTCTAAATCACGCAGCGTAATGCACACCTGATGGGACTTATGATAATGTGCAGTGTTTAGTTTCAACATTACCATCTCCTTCGTGAGTGCACCATCGGAGCTCTGTGATCACAAAGTCTGCTGAAGCAGTAAAGTGAATCATAATTATAGCTCACAGGTGCTCAGTAGCCCCCATGTTACCACCTCCCCCACTGCTCTTCCTCCTCCGCAACATCACCCCTTTTCCACCTGCTGATTCCAGCAGTGTCATCTCTCCCAGCTCTTCTCCAAACATCACCTTTGGCCTCTTTTGTTGTATGTATCCCTCCAAATACTATCTGCTGCTATTCTCAGAACACTGCAGACTGAAGCTCCTGCTGCATCTGCTGCTCCTGCTCCCCATCATGCACACTATGTGTTGCTCCTTTTAGCAAACATTGCCTGGTGCAACTTTGGTTTACTTTTCTTCAAGCAATGCTTCTTTTTTTTATCAATTCCTGCTCTGTTGCTCACCTTGCTCCCAGAAATATCTGATCTATTTCTGCTTTGCCTATCAGAAGCAGGTTCTCCTGTTGTTTCTTTAGGCATCGCCCATCACCTTCATCATGCTACACCATCTAAAATTGCTTCTCTTTATGCTCTTCGTTCCTCTACTTTAAGCATTAAAGTCCAGATGTTCTTCCGAGTCTTCCTGGTTCTTCACTAATTATTACCTGCTGCTCCCATCTGAGACTCCCTTGCCGTTGATGAAGCAACAAATTGTTTTAAAGCATCACCATATTTCCACCTTCCTCTGGAGTGACTCCTGCTCTCGCTCTCTCTCTCTTTTGTCCTCTGTCATGGAGTGAACAGGGGAAATTGTAAAACCCCTTCATCCATCACTCTGTCCATCTGTCTGTTCCGTTGTGCATATTGTGAACATGATAACTTGAAAAAAATAAGTGAGGTACCAATTTCCATCTAAGTGTGTGGTTACATCTAGGTGTAAGTAAAGTTTCTTCTGAAAATTGACATACCAATTCAAAATACAAGATAGTCATCACCAGTCATTTAAGGAATCTATGTTTTCTAGCTTTTAAGTTGCTTGAAAGTATAGTTTCCTCAAATGATTGGGGTTCCCAAAGATTAATCTAAGGTGGCCAAGGCCACCATTGGTCATCCCTTGGCTCCACCATTGCACCTGTTGGTGAATAAAATGGTTCCCTCCACTAGCCAGGATTCACCAGTATGTCTCAGACAAGGAAAAAAGAATGAAAGAAAGAAGAAAAAAGTCTTCTATTTGGAAACTAGAAACATTCACTATTCAAATTCAGCAGCAACGGGGGACATGGGGATACTGCTTGTTTAACCCAAACACCACCTTAACTTGTTTAATATTTTCTGCAGCCAAAGGCAAGACTGTGCGTGTTCTTGTGTCTGTCTGTTGCTAACATGTTTCATGGACTTCATCCATCCATCCATTATCTTTACCTGCTTCATCATTTTTGGGTCGTGGGGGTCACTGGTGTTCATAACCAGCAGTCACTGTGCAAAAGGCGGGTACACCCTGGACAGGTTGTAAGTCCATCGCAGGTCTCATGAACTGCTGGACTGATGAAACATTCAAGTAATATCTAAAAAAAAGTTAACTCAGGTCCTTGTTTTAGATTTTTCTACCTGGATTATTGAGCATGCATCGATATTCAAGTAATAATCTCTGGTTGTAATTCAAGATGGCCACCACAGTCTTATTGCAGTAGGAGCCTTCTCAATAGCTTTCTGAGCTGGAGGTTTATGTCTCAGAGTAGGAGGCATGGAGTAATTGCCCAACATAAACACATAGATGTTCTGTAAGGTGAAAATGTTGGTTAACAGACTGTTTAAACATTGATCACTGACGAAAATGCCTTACCAGCATCGCAGGCACGAAATTATGAAACAGTACATGTAGCAAACTGTTCCACTTGAATGCATGCAGCTTAAAAAACTTTATTTTCTTTGCTCTAACTACAGACACGATCATGAAATCTGATCAGGTACAAGTGAGTTTTGCTCTTTACACCCAAACTACAATGACCGTTGGATGAGACGAGAGGCGGGACTCCGCAGCGACTCGTGCTGGCAAAGACGCACCTCTTCTGGGATAAACTGAACTACGGCTCGGTAGATTTTTACAAAAGCCCTCAATTAAAGTGAATCACCATCTAATGTGCTAATATACAAATCAAAAGTTTAGTAAAATCAAGGTAAAAATGGAAAAAATACTGAGAGGAATGTTTCACTCTTTCAAAAAGGGACTAGACTTCTATTCTGAAATTGAAGACGCATGTATACCTACCTATAAACAGTTAAGTGGGGTGAATACATTCACCAGTAGCAAAAACAAGAAGATGGAGTCCTTGGTGAAACTGGACATTTTTTTGGACTATTTTTAATTTTACATTCACATTTCATCCTAAAAATTATTTAACCTGCCATGCTTCATGTCATTTTGTTCAGCACAATATCCCATGTGTGAACTTTGTTTTTTGTTTGTTTGTTTTTACTTATGTCCTACTATACCGACACAACAGACCAAAAATCACACAAAGCACACATATAAACAGGTATATTCATGAACATGTGTATATGTTGTATAAATTTAGCAATCAGCATAGTTATTTATACTTTTTTCCATTGAAATGGATTTAGTTTCTCAGGCATTTTTGGACAAAATGAAGAGGTGTTACAACAAACGCCTCATCGTTCCTTGTAGGAGTGGACCCATCCTAGTGGGACTTGGCCCGCTCTTCCTCTCTTTCCTCTTCTAAAACAAACCATGATCATCCACTTCATCAACTAAGTCGTCTGACTCAGACTCTGTTTTTTTCTTCCATATCTGCCTTCATAATCCTCTCCTCTGTCTGAGAGGCTCTGACTGTGCGACTCCATCCACCTCTGGTTTTGCAGCTCCATCCTCCTCATGTTCAAAAATCACCACATTGTTTTGACTCATACACACTAAAACTGATTAAACTAGACACGAAACTACCTCCTAACTGTAAATCCAAAACATGCTAAATATCACAAATCTCTCACACCTCATGAAGCACTTTCTCAGACACTTGATTAAGCGAAGAAACCACTGTTCACCACCTGTTATTGAGAAGAGGGAGTAGTAGCTGAGGGTAATTCATAACATACACTCCTAGTGCAGCATCTCATGATATTGCTTGAGAATGCACATAACATTTTAATAAAAGTTTGACGCAAATAGCTCCTTTATAACTCTTTCCCTTCTCAGCATAAGATGTTCTTAGTCTAAAACTTGTTTTCAAACTTGTTTTGTTCTCTGTGTTGTTTGGGTTCCTTTCCTGCTGTATTCTCCGTCAACTCCCCCTCTCCTGTCATCTGCAGCATCGCCTCCTGCTGCTGCCTCTGCCGTTGCCTCTGCCATTGCTTACGGAAGCGCTAGATTAGTCCACTGCTGTGTTTTAATGGTGCATGTAATGACGGCCCCGTGCCTAGTCTCGCCCATTATGAGACATGTAAATGTGTTGAAGGGCAGCTTTATTTTGATTAAACAGAATGTTGGCTGTGTCTGCGTGTGCGTTTGTGTTTGACTCTCAGTGTTTGTTAGTGAGTCAAAAAGGTGGGTGTTTTAGCCAGAGAGGTGAGACAATT